TTAATTCTTTTCTTGGTGACCAAACAATGTAGATTAGACATTAGTAATTCATATGTTAGATTTAATAATAAATAAGTATCATGTTATGTGATAAATACATGGTTTAAGTTTTTAAATTATTTAAAAAAATTAATTTTAAAATACATAAAAATTCACTCATAAACATTATATAACCGTTCAAACTAAAATAAAAAGTCACATCAAGAGTGTTATTTTCCATTTTTTTTCTTTTTTTTGGCCATGACAGGGTAATAATTTAATTCATGCATGACATGGTACAGATAAAAGGATTGCCAGTTGTCGCCGGAACAAATTCGGCCATTAGATATGTATTAAGAAAATAAAGTTTGATATGTGTCATGTTCATGCCCGCTGCTTGCCATTTGTAATTGGGTCACCCAAAGTCTAAGAAAATATCGTAATAATATTATTAATCGAAATTAATTATCATTTTCCCTCGGAAAAGTAAAAGAAATATATAACAAGAAGGGACTCGGGAGTTTACCATTTACTAGTATTTCTTTGTCAACTTGGAGGAGTTGGTAGGAAGTTTCCAATAAAATTCAAAAACAAGGAAAGATTCGAAAGAGAGAATGGCATGAAGTCATATCTCAAATCTTTGTATTCCGAGGGCAAGGGCAGAGATACATTTCTTTACCCATTGTTTGGCGAAGAGGAAAGGGGCGTAACGGAAGAACATGAGTGTTGAAACGTTCGGTTACAATAAATGAGAATGTCGCTCCTTTCAACTTTGCTGGATAATATTAAGTAGACTAAATTACGATGCTGAAATATTCGGTTAATATCATTAAATAGCCTACTGAGATGATGAGAAATGCTTCTTATTGATCTAACTTCGCCCTATCCTAATAGTTTTGACCTTTAAGGAATGATACAAGCCTCACCTTAGTCTATGTTTTTCTCTTCGTCTGACTGAGAGCTTTGTGGTCCGGGGACAGAATCAACAAAATACTCCTCCACTGAAACAAGGTAAATCCATCAGCATATATAAAACAAGGGGAAGATGCAGAATTTGAATATTTGGATTTTTTTTTTGCCTTCAAAACAGAGGAATAATTGGAATTAATAGTAGAATATTTATAAAGTCCGTTCTGGATATTTTAGATGTCACTTTGATGCCGTTTGGCCCACTTCTTAAGTAAATGTTATCTTTCAGAAACCCAATGTAAAAGATTTAATTGCAGACGAACGGAAAATTATTTAATTGAGAGCAGGTGGTACTT